CACTGGTCGGTAACATTCTCGGGCCTCGTTGATTTTCTTTTCATTTTCTTTAGCTTCAATCACCTATGGTGAGAGCAAACAACATTAGTAACTTAACTGTTCACATTCTCTACTCTTATCCAAGTGATGGAAGGGACATATCTGAAAGGAGAAATTATTCATATCAAAATAGACAACAGCTCTTGCTAATTTGGCTCAGTAGATAGAGCTTCGGCCTTGGGTTCGATTCTAGTCAAGGGCACATGCCCGAGTTGTGGGCTCGATCCCCAGTGGGGGATGTACAGGAGGCAGCTAATCAATGATTCCCTCTCATCACTGATGTTTTTCTCTCTCTCCCTTCCTCTCTGAAATCAATAAAAAAAAAATTTTTTTTAAACGTAATATATAGCACCTATGTGCTTGCTGTTCAAAATTATAAAATTCATATTAAAACAATTTGGATTTTATATTTACTATGAATATTAAAATATTTAAAATAATAAAAATTTAAAATAATTTTTTCATAGGTATTTCCAGGAAGAAGGGATATAACGCTAGTTGTTTTGATTACAGTTGAACAAACTCGATGATTTCGGTGCTACAGAATTTATCCCAAGTAATGTCACCTTTCTGCTCCCCCCTCTCTCTTTCAGGGGTTAATAACCCAGGTATATCACCTCCCAGGGAGAGCTCTTACAAGTCTGCTGGGCCAATTCAATGCCAATAACTTTATTAGTCAACAAGGTATACAAAAGCAGCCAAGGTCAATAATATATCTAATAGCTAGGCTTACTAAAAAGCCTTTATACGAAAACTCAGGTGACTGTCTAGTTTTTGACTTTGCACCAGAGCATCCATACGCTCATATATTTCCATTTAGCTTATCGTTATGTACTAGCCTCTGGGTATATTCAGAGAGATAATTAAAAGAAGCCACTCTCAGCCAACATATTGGCTTTTATTCAAGGCTCAAATATCTATTTCTTTTAGCCCGGACCACTGCCGACCATATAGCTCTATATGATGCAGTATTTCCCAAAACTTTTTTAATAGACTCAATCCATCATATTTGTGTATAAAAGGAAATAAAGAAAATGTAGAGCAGAGAGGGAAGTCCCTATATGGCAATATATTAAGAAGATAGGGAGAGGCATTTTAAGAGACAATTAGAAGTTAATTTGAAAGCTAAGACCTAATTTACTTAATTGCTCTAATCTTTACCATCTCGGGAGCCCCCTAGAATTCCTTTTAAGTAAAAAAGAGAGTCATTTGGAATTCCATTTCCTTGCTTAAATTAAGGCAAATATATTGGATGTATGGCCACACAGCCTCCGCTGGGTAATTAGCAGGTTGCTGAGTAATGAGGGACATCCCAGAAAGCGAGTAAGGGTTCCTCTGATTTTGCAACACTGGAGTTTTAAGGGTTAGTGGTTACTTGTGAAAATCCACAGTGCACACCACGCATAAAGCACCCGGGGACACAAGCTGGAGTCCCGCGGGAAGTGCACTCAATGAGAAACCTTCTGGGCTTTTAGGACATGTCATTTTCCCAGTGTGAGCGAGGCATCTGAGAACAGCAGGAGACCATCCCTGGCTCAGCCTCCCAGCCCTGCCGGCCTGGACACAAAACTTCAGCTCTAAGTATTTCTCTAAAATGGACAACAGACTAGGAGCCCCCGTGGTGAGACTGGATGAGGGCAATTTGCCAGGGCGAGATTCTAAATGAAACCTTTTCAGATTTTAGTCCTCTCAGCCTGCAGGCCCCCGTGTTCTTCAAATTTGGTCACACAGAACAAATCACAGGCCCTCGCCAGTTTGGCTCAGTGGACAGAGCGCCGGCCCGTGGACTGAAGGGTCCCAGGTTCGATTCTGGTCAAGGGGCTTGTACCTTGGCTGCAGGTTCCCCGGCCCTGCTCGGGGTGCGTGCAGGAGTCAACCAATCCATGTGTCTCTCTTACATCGCTGTTTCTCTCTGTCTCTCCCTCTCTCTTCTACTCTCTCTAAATATCAATGGAAAAATATCCTCCGGTGAGGATTCACAACAAAACAAAACAAAACAAACCACAACAAAAAATAAACACAAAAAACCACCTCCACCAAATAACAGCCTGAGGGAGTCTAATTTGAACGCCTGGGTCTCCGTGGAATGAGGAGCAGCACAAGCTGGGCCCCACGAGGCCCATTTTTAGGGCAGTTTATCGGACGATCCATCAGTCCCCTTTGAGAAACTACCAAATAGGATGACACGTTCCCCCACACATGTCTGTGCAAGCAGAGCGCTGCAACAAGCCCTCCTGTGCCCTCGGCCTCCCCACCTTATGCTCTATCTCGGCGGCCGTCGCCTTCGTGGTCTCCAGTCTCTCCACCAGCTGGGTGTCGCCCAGGAAGCTGCCCTGGGCCGCCGACAGGCGCAGCAGGAGGTCCTCCTCCAGGGACTTCAGCTCTATCTTACAGTCGTTCTGGTGCTTCGTCAGAAGCAACTACCACAAGCCGAGGGAAGCGTAAGAAATGGTGGTTAAATTCCTGTTTTTAAGTAGAGTTTTCTTACTCATCCATTTCATGGACGCCTTTAGAATGAAACACACTTAACATTACAACACGCCGATAACAATGTTTAACAATTCTTACGAAAAGTGTCAGAAGGGGCTGCACTCCAGGGTCCAGAGTGTGAACATTTATCATCATCACTTGGCACCATGAACCGAAGCCACTGTTTCAGGAACCACCATTGGAGAACCAATGGTTTATACCAGGAGTAGAGGCTTTTTCCAAAAAGGGTCAGATGGTAAATACTCTTGGCTTTTAGGCCAAACAGTCTGTTGCTATTACCTAACTCTACAACAGCCTTCTTCCTATGTTTATAATCTTACTCTGGTTTTCTTGTTGTCTGTATTCAACACTGAATTTAATTATTTTTCTCTCATCAGTGCACTTAAAGCCATAACTTTTCCTTTAAATGTTAGTCATAACCAAAGATAAGTCTCTTAAAATTTTTCATTTTTTTTTGGGGGGGGGAGGTATTAATCCTCACCTAAGGATATTTTTTTCCATTGTTTTTCAGACAGAGTGGAAGAGAGGGAGAGTGAGAAAGAGAGGGAGAAACATGTATGTGAGAGAAATACATTGACTAGTTGCCTCTCGCACATGCCCTGACCGGGGGTGGGGAGCAAGCCCAAAACCTAGGTATGTGCCCTTAACCAGGAATCAAACCTGTGACCCTTCAGTGCTAGGGCCAATGCTCTAACCACTGAGCACACCGGCCAGGGCAAGCCCCTTAAATTTTCCAACCTTACTCCTTTACTTCCCTTTTCGCTCTTTGGCCCTGGCTGAATCAGCTATGATCACCCAACTGCAAAGGCACGTGCCCGCAGCAACACAAGCCTCTGCTTCCCAAGACTCCATGCCTCTGCCTGTCCCAGTCACCGGCAGCAAACTAGACCTGGAGCCAGCCCTCCTCCTCCCTGGGCACAACCCTAACTACCTCCTTCATCAGAAGTCCCCCTCAATTTCTGCTACTGTTCACACATACCCTCTTTTTTCTCAATTAGATTGTAAGATCCTGGAGGGCAGGGCTTCTGCCTAACACGCATGTGTCCGGCAGTGTAATTTGTGCAAAGCAGGCGCTGAATAAGTGTTGGTGGATGATTTCATATTTTTTACCTTAAATTTCTCCAAATCCGGCCTTTCGATACTGACCACCTCTGCCAGCAGCTGGGCTTCCAGACCATCTTCTGTGACCGTGAAATTGAGCAGGGTTGTCTGAGCTTGCAATTCTGGCTTATAGTGAGGATTGGCCAGTTTTGTGTGAAGGAGGAGACGAAAGTTCTCATGAAATTCACACTCTTTGTCTCCAATCCTGATATACCTAGAGGGGACAGAACGGACATTCAGGAGCGTCCCCGGAACCTGGACGGATATCAAAGTATCATTCCAACCCTGCACGCTGGCCATGTATCCGGGCCTTAGGACCAGGCGGTTCAGGGTTTTTCAGCTACTCTGTTTCCCTAAAGTAAAAAAAAAAAGAATAGGAATTATTCACTGAACCTCTATGTACTTATGTTTCCTCATATGCAAAACGGCGGTAATAGCAGTATTCACCTCACAATTAAATATAATAAATCACAGAAAGGACCTAAGCCAACAAAAATGTTAGCTTCTATTATTATAATCACTGTGATTAACCTTGTATTAAACATTGCTAGTCTTTAAGGGTAAAATGAGTTTGTATGCGTTTGTATACATCTGTGTACAGGTTTATTTAAAATTTACATATATGAAACATGCATGTATACTTCAAATTGCCTTCCAATACTTTGGCACTGGGTCAAGGACAAAAGTGAAGAAGCCGCCGTGTGGGATGCATGGCTCCTCCTCCTCCATCTCGCCCAGGCGTGGGCCCCCTGCAACCAGGCTTCTGTTGTGTATCCCTGCTCCCCTGGCCAAGGGCACCAGGGGCGGGCACCTCATCCACGCTCTTCCAATCACAGCGCCCTTCACTGGGACTGGGGTTCGGGACAGAGAGAAGGGAGAGTTGGAACTGGAACCTAGACGCTTGTGTTGCAGTCAGTCTGTCCTCCTGGTGAACCGAGCAGCACAGACAGACATTCCTGGTTTCCCAAAGGAGGAGGATTAACCAACATGCAGATGGAGGAGCAAAGCAAAGGGGCGTGCTCTGGGTCTCCCAGATTTCCAGGTCCCACCTTCCCTGAAGCCTGGCTGCACTGGCACTTCCGTTGCCATGACACCCTGCAGCCTTGGAACAGGCTCTCGGTGGAGCTTGAGCTGGATGGGGGTGGCTGCTGTGATTATAAGCGAAACACTGAATGAATGCAGCCTCTCGTTTTTCCCTTTCTCAGATGCTGGGAATTGTGAGGACTTGGTCACCTGGCTCCATTCCCCTGTGGGTTCATTTATTCACTTGGTTAATAAATAAATATGTACAAAACACCTACAATGGGACAGATCAAAGGTCTGCCCAATTAAAAGATTGGAAAAATGTCCATTCAGATCCTTTGCCTAAGAAAATATACAAATGGCCAATAAACACCTGAAAAGATGCTCAACATCATTAATCATCAAGAAATTGCAAATCAAAGCCACAGTGAGGTACCACGTCATACCTACTAAATGGCTATAGTAAAAACCACCGGCAATAACAAGTGTTGGAGAGGATGGAATGCAATGAGAACCCTCATCAACTGCAGGTGGGAATGTTTTCCACTTTGGTAAACAGTATTAGCAGTTTCTCAGAATTTTAAACATAGAGTTATCATTTAGCTCAGCCATTCTACTTCTAGGTAGAGACTCAAAAGAGTGGAAAACATATGTCCACATAGAATTTGTGCAGCAGCATTATTCATAATAGCCAAAGGGTAGAAACAACCCAAATGTTTCATGGATGAATAAACTGTGGTATATCTAAACAATGGAATATTATTCAGCCATAAAAAGAAAGTACTGACACATGCTACAACATGGATGAGCCTTGAAAACATTATGCCAAGTGAAAGAAGCCAATCACAGAAGACCACATATTGATTCCATTAATAGGAAATAACCAGAATAGGCAAATCAAAGTAGGTTTGATTGCTTAGGAATTTCAATTCTAAAATTGACTGTGGTAATGGCTGCCCAATGCTGTGAATATAGTAAGAACCAAGGAGTTCTTCACTTTAAATGATATATTGTATGTATGTGAATTATACCTCAGTACGATGCTGCCAAAAAAGAAAAAAAAGAGAACAACCTATCAAGAGGTCAACCACTAACATTTGGACTTTCTCAGTCTGGAAGGAAATCAGCCATGCTAACTGTAGCTTTTCAGATTTTATCAATCTGCCAACCATAGTTTCTCAGAGGCTCATGCTTGACTTTTGAGCATATTGAGCTGTCTCACAGGATGGTCTTATTTGATAAGAACACATTTTTGGTTAACCTTCTTTTTGACTGAAGACATTTCCAACCATATCTACATTGGGAACATCATCCAATTTCTCCCATTACTTGAGTTTCCCTTTCCAAGGTTTTCCAAAATAGATTTCACAAGTCAAGTAAGCTTTGAGAAAATCTTCCTTTGCTGGCACTAGCCACCGTATTACTGTTGGCCTAGATGCCAAGATTGGCACCAGCGGCTTCTCAAGGGAATCTTCAGAGTGAAATTTTTGTGTAGTTACTGCCTGGGCTTCTCACACCTAAGCAATACCAAGGCTGATGCGTCGCCACAGTAATAACACCCACGCTCTCACCCAACCCCTGGGCACAGCCTGTGCTCTTCTGATTACTGCTCCACCTCAGTTTCAATTCGTTCCTCCCTTGGCAAGTGTCTCAGAAATGCCAGGTCTGTCACTACCATTCACGATTTCAGGTTGAATTTCCCCTCATTTGCTCAGGAATTTTCACCGGGTTTGAGTTCATACTTCATAAACTTCCTGTTTTAATCACTAATCCATATCTCCAGATGAAAAGAGAATTTAAACATTTTTACACTGGTCTGGGGGAAAAAGGTGAAGGGAAAAAATAAAAACAAACAAACAAACAAACAAAAAATCCTCATGGACACAGACAACAGTGTGGTGTTTACCAGAGGGAAAGGGGGTGGGAGGAGGTAGAAGGTAGAGGGGGGATAAATGGTGATGGAAGGAGACTTGACTTGGGGTGGTGAATATACAATATACAGATAATGCGATAGAAGTGTATACCTGAAGCCTATATAATTTTATTAACCAGTGTCACCCCAATAAATTCAATTTAAAAAATAGAGGCCAAACCCCCCCCCAAAATAAACATTTAAGTTTAAATGAAGAACACTGAATAAATGAAGCCTAGAATTTTCATTACTGTTGTAAAGGGATAGCTCATTGTGGCAGCATTAGGAACTGCAGTAAGAAGTCAAACTAATTTTGAGATCTGTGTGGAGGATGTGTAAATATGAGAGAATCAAAACAAGCCCCCACCAAGACAACTAACATTCCTGAAAGTCATAGGTGCTCAGGCCTCCGGGGAGAAATCCCTCTTGGATTGGGCCAGAGGGGAACTATTTTAGGCTTTGCGGGCCATATGCGTCTCTGCCATATATTCTGTTATTGACAACCCTTTAAAACAATTGTTAGCTCTTCATAAGTTATAGAAGTGTCTAATGACTATGCTGCACACCTAAAACTAATATAATATCATATGTCGACTATAATTTTTTAAAAAGTTAAAAAAAGAAATCAAAGATAAACAGCAGCAGCAAACCATTCTGAGCTCACAGGCCTTATCAGCACAGGCTGTTTGCCATGTGCCACTCCAGAGGGTCACACCAGGTAGTGGCATCAGCGTAATCTCCTCTCAATGCAATAGCAGCTCATCTCCAAGGATTTCCCAGGATCACCAAGCTACAATTTTTCCCATCAGCCACTACGCACAACCGTGCTTCCCCTCCCAAGGCTTTCAGGAAAACACACACCACAAAACAGGAGACTGGCCAACATGGATTATGAGGTTCGACAATTTTGCAGGTGACAAAGCCATTAACTGGTTAAATATGTACTTAACGAAACAGCTCCAGAAGGTGGCTCCGAGGGGACTCCAGGGCTAAATCCCTTTTGTGTGTCTACATATGCCCTGAAGCATTCACAGTTTGGGAACCAGAAATCTATCTGCTGGGTTTTCTCTGTGAGGAGAGACTTAATTGGAAGGACTCTGCTAGGCTGATGGAAGAGATAAGGATGTCTGCTTGTAAAATTGGTTTTACATTTTGCTCTGAAACCTTCTTTTATAAGCTTAGATTTCCCAGGGATAGTAAATAATCCTCAGCTGGGGTATTTATGATCTACGAAAGGCAAGAACTACACAATGACTCGGTGGGTTTTATCATTGCTGCCAGGTTAATTTTTTGGTTAATCTCCGATCTGGGAATATTAAATGGATGGCTAATGCTCTCTCAGGACTTGAAGGATCTGAACAGCGACTGAGTTAACCAGAGGGGTGGGGAAAACCAACAGTCCTGGTGTTGTTTCTGTGAAAGACAGGAATCCAGAGGTCATGACTTCTACGCCACAGAAGGCAGCTATGAGCTCTTGACCTTAAATCTTCAATGAGAAGCAACACCAAGGCGTGAAGAGCAGCATACAATGTAGAAGTGTGGCTTCTTTCCTAAATGAGTAGTTCTTAACCCACATTCCAGCCCCATGCCCTCCAGGAACAGGACACTGTATCGCAGTGAGAGTGTGTGTGTGCGTGGGGGGCGGGGGGCACCTGCAGGGATATCTGAATCTGCAGGGGAGTTGCTCCCAGAGGGTGTCCATACATTTCTCCGAGAGAGCTCCTCCTGCCCTGATTCTCATTGGCTGAGAAGTGCTGGCTTAGAGGTGAGAGACTAATTATACGAACACAATCTGAAATAAAATGTGTTTTCCCAGTACAAACACCATGGCTTAATTGGATAGGATGCAGGGTGAGTCAAAAACATTGTTTCACCTACCAGAGTTGTCATTTTAAGGCAAGAAGATCCCCTAGTGATCATTCAGCTGATTCCCTTTTATGAACCCAATGATTTACGACTTCTCCAAGGTCAGATAGCTTAAGCAGTGATGGCGAACCTATGATACGCGTGTCAGAGGTGACACTCGAACTCATTTTTTTGGTTGATTTTTCTTTGTTAAATGGCATTTAAATATATAAAATAAATATCAAAATATAAGTCTTTGTTTTACTATGGTTGCAAATATCAAAAAATTTCTACATGTGACACGGCACCGGAGTTAAGTTAGGGTTTTTCAAAATGCTGACACGCCAAGCTCAAAAGGTTCGCCATCACTGGCTTAAGGGCAGGGTGGGGATTGGAGCCTGGGTCTGGACTCCTAGTATAAAGTTCATTTCACTGCATCAGACTGCAGGTTCATTTGCTCTGTTGGATGGTGACAGCTTGTAACCCTAACCTCTGTTGACCTGTCTGACCATCAGTCACAAGAGGGTACCGAAAGAGTATGATCGACTCATAACAATCAATGGCCAATAGACAAAAGAATTTAAAGACACAGGCCCTGCTGATCTTTGGGTAAGAATTCTGTCCTTGTTTATGAAGCAGAATAGCATTGATTATCAAGGTGCCCAGCCCAATCCAAGAGCTATGATTTCTGGTAGATACTTTCATAAAATGAATTACTTAATTTATAAAGTTATTAAAATAAATCACAACTTACATAAAAGTTTTTTATCTCCTGGCTTTCAGGAAAAGAAAATGCGGTATTTTAAGTATGCCAAAATGCTCACTCCTTAGCTGAAAGAATTATTGTGTCATAAAGAGAATCATCTACAGATTAACTGTAAATTCAGTTTTCCATGTCAGGTTTGCATAAAAATCAGGTATATTGGGAAATTCAACGTTCTTTCAAAAA